ATGAGATACATAATGAGATATGTATAACAGAATGTATAATAAATAATTGCATTGAATCTGAATATATAAAAATATAGTGAGATATATAGTGAGATATATGATGAGATTATAGTGAGATTATAGTGAGATTATAGTGAGATTATGGTGAGATTATGGTGAGATTATGGTGAGATATATAGTGAGATTATAGTGAGATTATAGTGAGATATATAGTGAGGTATATAGTGAGATATGCAATAATATGAGATATATGATGAGATATATAATGAGATATGAATAGCAGAATGTCTAATAAATAATTGCATTGAATCTGAATATATAAAAATAGATATAGTGAGATATATAGTGACATATATAATGAGATATATAATGATATGAGATATGTGATGAGATATATAATGAGATATGAATAGCAGAATTTATAATAAATAATTGCATTGAATCTGAATATATAAAAATATAGTGAGATATATAGTGAGATATATACTGAGATATACAATAATATGAGATATATGATGAGATATATAATGAGATATGAATAGCAGAATGTATAATAAATAATTGCATTGAATCTGAATATATAAAAATAGATATAGTGAGATATATAGTGAGATATATAGTGAGATATATAATGATATGAGATACATGATGAGATACATAATGAGATATAATGAGATATATAATGAGATATGTATAACAGAATGTATAATAAATAATTGCATTGAATCTGAATATATAAAAATAGATATAGTGAGATATATAGTGAGATATATAGTGATATGAGATGCATAATGAGATACATAATGAGATATATAATGAGATACATAATGAGATAGGAATAGCAGAATGTATAATAAATAATTGCATTGGATCTGAATATATAAAAATAGATATAGTGAGATATATAGTGAGGTATATAGTGAGGTATATAGTAAGATATACAATAATATGAGATATATGATGAGATATATAATGAGATATGAATAGCAGAATGTATAATAAATAATTGCATTGAATCTGAATATATCAAAATAGATATAGTGAGATATATAGTGAGATATACAATAATATGAGATACATAATGAGATACATAATGAGATACATAATGAGATACATAATGAGATATATAATGAGATATGTATAACAGAATGTATAATAAATAATTGCATTGAATCTGAATATATAAAAATATAGTGAGATATATAATGAGATATATAATGATATGAGATACATAATGAGATACATAATGAGATACATAATGAGATATGTATAACAGAATGTATAATAAATAATTGCATTGAATCTGAATATATAAAAATAGATATAGTGAGATATATAGTGAGATATATAATGAGATATATAATGATATGAGATATATGATGAGATGTATGATGAGATATGTATAACAGAATGTATAATAAAATATATAATGAAGTATAGAAAATACATTAAAACATATATATAAAAATATATGTACTTTTCCCCTGTAAATATATATAAATTTCTATAATA